TTGTTGGGGACTTTGTGGAGCTTCTCTGCGACCTCTTTCGGAGAGAAGTCACACCTCAGGAGCTGGAGGGCTTTGGGAGAGTTGATCTTCGGCAACAGAGGCATGCCATCAGGACGTTGGGGAGACACCTCGGCGTCCCTAAAGACTCTCGTGAAATAACCCTGGAGCTCTTCCAGGGGGATCTTGCAAGATGGGGAGAGCTTCCCCTGGATCTTCAGCAAGGCTTTGGGTTTGGAGGTGCGGTACATGTACTGGAGCTGGCGGGCCTCCTTGACCATCATTATGGAAGCCCCTCTTCTGTTCCTAGGCTTCCGAGGAGTCGCTTTGTCATCGGCAGACAGTTCCTTAGTCACTTTTTGGAAGACCTTCTCAAACTCTTCAAAAGTGGTGGCCTCCTGGATCCGCTTGATTTGCATTCTTTGCCACTCCCCAAGGCTGCTTTTGCCAGGCTGCATGGCTCCTACGTCCTGTGGAAAAGGCGGGTGCTGGGTGTGAATCCTGGCTGGTGGGTGCCTTGTCATCCTGGCTGCAATAAAGGTCATCCAAAAGGTTGGTGGCATTTGGAAAGGCAACCCACAATTTCTTCCTTCCTTCCTTCCTTCCTTCTTTTTCCTTTCCTTCTTCCCTCCTTCCTTTCCTTCTTTCTTTCCTCCTTCCTTTCCTTCTTTCTTTCCTCCTTTCCTTCTTTCTTTCCTCCTTCCTTTCCTTCTTTCTTCCCTCCTTTCCTTCTTTCTTTCTTTCCTCCTTCCTTTCCTTCTTTCTTTCCTCCTTCCTTTCCTTCTTACTTTCCTTCTTTCTTTCCTCCTTCCTTTCCTTCTTTCTTTCCTCCTTCCTTTCCTTCTTTCTTTCCTCCTTTCCTTCTTTCTTTCCTCCTTTCCTTCTTCTTTCTTTCCTCCTTCCTTTCCTTCTTTCTTTCCTCCTTTCCTTCTTTCTTTCCTCCTTCCTTTCCTTCTTTCTTCCCTCCTTTCCTTCTTTCTTTCTTTCCTCCTTCCTTTCCTTCTTTCCTCCTTCCTTTCCTTCTTACTTTCCTTCTTTCCTCCTTCCTTTCCTTCTTTCTTCCCTCCTTTCCTTCTTTCTTTCCTCCTTCCTTTCCTTCTTTCTTTCCTCCTTTCCTTCCTCCTTCCTTTCCTTCTTTCTTCCCTCCTTTCCTTCTTTCTTTCTTTCCTCCTTCCTTTCCTTCTTTCTTTCCTCCTTCCTTTCCTTCTTACTTTCCTTCTTTCCTCCTTCTTTCCTTCTTTTTTTCCTCCTTTCCTTCTTTCTTTCCTCCTTTCCTTCTTTCTTTCTGGGAAATCTCCTCCCAAGAAAAAGAGGAAGAGGAGGAAGCCAAGCCTCAGTCCCCCTTTCCTCCAAAACTGGAGCTCCTTTCCTTTCTCTTCTTCCAGGAAGATGATCCAAAGCAGGAGAGACCTTCACATGAATTCCAACTCACCCCAATTGGTGCCTCCTCCAAGGCAAGGGATTGCAGAACTCCTCTCTCTTTTGCAACAGGAAGAAGTTTTGAACCAACACATGGGCGCCTAGCAGAGCAGTCTCACAAGCCCCGCCCACACGGCCTCCCAGCCAATGGGAGAGATGTCATGCTAATAAAGGATGCTCCATTCAAAACAAAAAGGCGGAAATGCAGGGCAAAGGCGAGCAAACGGCCATTTCCGGTGTCTGGGGGAAAGGGGAATCCCCTGAAATAGTTTCCTCTTTGTATTGTCGAAGGCTTTCATGGCCGGAATCACTCAGTTCTTGTGGGTTTTTTCGGGCTATATGGCCATGTTCTAGAGGCATTTCTCCTGACGTTTCGCCTGCATCTATGGCAAGCATCCTCAGAGGTGAGGTCTGCTGGAGCTGGGGAAAAAGGGGTTTATATATCTGTGGAATGACCAGGGTGAGACAAAGGGCTTTTGTAAGTTGGGCTAGGTGTGAATCTTTTCAACTGACCACCTTGATTAGCATACAATGGGCTGACAGTGCCTGGAGCAAACTCTTCTTGAAAGGTGATTAGATGTCCCTGCCTGTTTTTCTCTCTGCTGTTTTAATTTTAGAATTTTTAATACTGGTAGCCAGATTTTGTTCATTTTCATGGTTTCTTCCTTTCTGTTGAAATTGTCCACATGCCATGAAATTGTCCAGAAGCCATTGAAATCCACAAACATGTGGACAATGAAGTTTAGACTTATTATTAATGCTCAGCAATAAACAGGATTGCAAGTTTGGGGCAAATAGGAGGACAACAGAAACTCCTGCCCTTTTTAAATTGGCATTCCCTCCTTCTTTCCAGTTTTTAGCTATTAACAATTTACAGATTGGCAATTAATTCCTTTAGCTTTTGATATTTTAACTTTATCCATCAATGATAGCAGTGCCATTTCCAGCGTTGCAGTTATCTCTATTTGGGTGATTCTTATTTCTTGAAATACATTTTTCCAAAATTTTTGAACATATTTACAAGACCTCCATATGTGCATATATGTACCAGTTTCTTGACAGCCCCTCCAGCACTGCTTAGAGCAGGGGTCATCAAACTAAGGCCCGAGGGCCAAAGACGGCCTCACTCAGGGTCAACTTAAGTCTGAAACTACTTGAAAGCACACAACAATCCTATCTCATCAGCCAAAAAGCAGGCCCACACTTCCCATTGAAACACTAATATTTATAATATTAACGTAATAATATATTTATATTTGTTAATATTTAGATGTTTATATTTGTTATATTTGCAAGTGTGGAGAAGAGCAAACCACAGACCATCCGCTGCAATGCAACCTGAGCCCTGCCACATGCACGATGGAGAACCTTCTTATTGTAACACCAGATGCACTCCAAGTGACCAGCTACTAGTCAAAGGACATTTAATCATCTACCAAGCTTGCAAACTTTGTGGTTTGTTTGTTAAAATATGCAATACAACTGTTTAGTTTGCTCCTGACATAATAATAATAATAATAATAATAATAATAATAATAATAATAGCTTATTTGTACCCCGCTACCATCTCCCCAAGGGACTCGATGCGGCTTACATGAGACTGAGCTCAAATACAACAATACAAGCAATAAAACAAGTAATTAAAATTAAAAAAAACATAGACAATAAAATATACAACATTCTCAATAAGACAGAACACCATTAAAAACAGTGGGAAGGCCAAATGTAAAATTAAAATTGGAAGTGATGCTGGGACATGGACGAAAAGGTGATAGTGGTGTTTGTGGAAGGGCATACAAGCAGACCTAAAGAAATGTAAAGTGCTTTGGAGGACAAAGTGCTATGGGATCATTATTCCGGGAAGGCACACTGGAACAGCCACGTCTTCAAGCTCCTCCTGAAGACTGCCAGAGTTGGAGCCTGTCTGATGTCTTTAGGGAGTGAGTTCCAGAGTCGAGGGCCACCACCGAAAAGGCCCTCTCTCTCGTCCCCACCAACCGCCTGTGATGCTGGTGGGATCAAGAGCAGGGTCTCTCTGGATGATCGAAGGGATCGTGTGGGTTTGTATATGGAGATGCGGTCACGCAGGTAGGCGGGTACCAAACCGTTCAGGGCTTTGTAGGTAAGAACCTGCACCTTGAATTGGGTCCGGTAAATGAATGGCAGCCAGTGGAGCTCCTTAAACAGGAGGGTTGACCGCTCCCTGTAAGGAGCCCCAGTTAACAACCTGGCTGCCGCCCGTTGGATCATCTGGAATTTCCAGGCCGTTTTCAAGGGCAGCCCCACGCAGAGTGCATTGCAGTAATCCAGTCTAGAGGTGTCACAAGAAATTCAATGTGCAAATTTGATAAATGTGAATTTAAAATGATGTGTGTGAATGAATGGAAGAATGGAAGGATGTGTGGTTGGAGTTAATAATTTTGGAAACACCAGTATAATATTAAAGCCTGCAATTAACTACCTGCTTGCTGGACTTGCTAATGAGAAACCCTGATAAGAACTGGGACAGTGATAAAGGAAATGTTTGCAATCTTCCTTATGTTAAGAAGGAAGTCAACATAAGATCAACACCAATCAAGAAGATCAACATCTGGCCAGGAAACTGAGATGGATCCAGGATGAAAGACGTCTATCATTAATTTACAACTTTGGGACAACATCAACAGAATTTTCCTATAAAAGACTCAGGCTAATAATGTTCAGATCATGGCAGACCAAGGAGTCTGTTCCACCTGCCATGCTCTGCTCCATGGGAAGGACAGAGGTGGTGTATTCAGTGTCAGATATGCTATGGGAAAGCATGATTCTGAGGCTTCTTTCTCAAGGGAAGAGGAAGAAGTGCGCTTTTGGAGTCTTGGATTTTGTGCAGGGAGACAGGTTCTGCTGTATGGAAAACAGAGGTCTGGTCCTTGGCACTGTTCTTAGGGAAAAAAGTTTTGGCATTTCAGCATTTTGAAGTTATGGTGTTATGGAAGTTATGGAACTGTGCACTGGCAGGCTGCAGGGAAGCAGGGTCTGGCCTAACAGGTGCTTCTCCAAGGAGGGAGAAAGGATATGGTATATGGTTCTTGTGGGTTTTTTCGGGCTATATGGCCATGTTCTAGAGGCATTTCTCCTGACGTTTCGCCTGCATCTATGGCAAGCATCCTCAGAGGCGAAACGTCAGGAGAAATGCCTCTAGAACATGGCCATATAGCCCGAAAAAACCCTACAACAACCCAATCATTCCAGCCATGAAAGCCTTCGACAATATGGTAATATTTGGATGCATGTGGATGAATGCGTGTACATGTGTGTGAATGTTGAGTGAAAATATAATTCCCCTATGTTTGTTTGTTAATTGTGAATCCAATGTAGTTTCATAAAATCTGTATGTTCAATGTCATTCTTTGTCTAAATGTTTTCTGTAATCTGAAATTCCTTCTCACACTGGAAATTGCAATAAAAAGAACCTATGCTTCAAAGTTATTGAAAAGTCATTCATGACAGAGGTGACATGATAAATATGTTTGTTAAAATTGTTATTGTATTGTTTTAAAGGGTTTTTTGCACTACAAATAAGGTATGTGCAGTGTGCATAGGAATTATTTTCAAATTATAATCTGGCCCATGCTGCAGATACAATATAAACAAATATAATAATCTGGCCCTCCAACAGCTTGAGGGACTATGACCTGGCCCTATAATTAAAAAGCTTGAGGGTGTCTGCCTTGGGAGTCTTTCTCCAGTGTTTCCAAACTCTTTCATGACTTTGTGTTTGGCTCTGAAAAGAGCCTTTTGGGTTCTGAATCGAATTCCAAGTCCAGCAAGTGTTTGGGAGCAATGTTGGGCTCTACTTGGCCTTGGCCTTGTGGCTCTCGGTCTTCTTGGGGAGGAGCACGGCCTGGATGTTGGGCAGGACGCCTCCCTGGGCGATGGTGACTCTGCCCAGCAGCTTGTTGAGCTCCTCGTCGTTGCGGATGGCCAGCTGCAAGTGGCGGGGGATGATGCGGGTCTTCTTGTTATCCCGGGCAGCGTTCCCCGCCAATTCCAGGATCTCAGCCGTCAGGTACTCCAGCACGGCCGCCATGTAGACCGGCGCCCCGGCCCCGACCCGCTCGGCGTAGTTGCCCTTCCGGAGGAGACGGTGCACGCGGCCCACGGGGAACTGCAGCCCGGCTCGGGAAGAGCGGGTCTTGGCCTTGGCTCTGGCTTTGCCTCCTTGCTTGCCGCGTCCAGACATGGCTGCTGAGTTCCTTCTCGCCTTGACTGCTGAAAAAGAATGAAGTCTCACTAGCCGCGCCCGCCTTTATTTATTTCCGCCGTCGGATTCTAAACTGCGATTCCTATTGGAGGATGGTGAAACGCCTCCTCCAATCGGATGCCGGCACGCGACTACGGCCTATCAGGAAATGGTTTCCGAAACGAACCAATCAGGACAGGGCTCGCAGAATTCCTTGGGCGAAAGAAAGAGAAGGGCATTCAGCCGTCGTTAATATATTCATACGTATCCTCCAATCACACGCGGGCGCGGGACTGCCGACCAATCAGGAGGCGGGTTCTGAAATTAGCCAATCAGTACAGGGCTCGAAGAATGCCTTGGGAGGAGAAAGGAAGGGAAGCAAATTCGGCCTCCATTGTTCTTTCTCCTGATAATTGGATTCAAGGCACGTTCAAAGCAATACACGCTAAAAAAAAGCAAATTAAAGATATAAATATACAACTTTTGACTTATTTGTTTCTTGGGACAATCAAGGCCAGCTAATCACCTCCCAACAAAGGATTTCCCCAGGCAGTAAGAAGCCAGTCCTTGAAACTGCTAGGCCATTGAATGCAAATTAAAGGTATAAATATACAATTTCTGACCATTTTTTTTTCTTGGGACAATCATGACCAGCTAATCACCTCCCAACAAGGGATATCCCCAGGCAGTAAGAAGCCAGTCCTTGAAACTGCTAGGCCATTGAATGCAAATTAAAGGTATAAATATACAATTTCTGACCATTTTTTTTTCTTGGGACAATCATGACCAGCTAATCACCTCCCAACAAGGGATATCCCCAGGCAGTAAGAAGCCAGTCCTTGAAACTGCTAGGCCATTGAATGCAAATTAAAGGTATAAATATACAACTTTTGACAATTTGTTTCTTGGGACAATCATGGCCAGCTAATCACCTCCCAACAAAGGATCTCCCCAGGATCTTCTTACTGACCTCCAGTAAGAAGCCAGTCCTTGAAACTGCTAGGCCATTGAATGCAAATTAAAGGTATAAATATACAACTTTTGACAATTTGTTTCTTGGGACAATCGTGGCCAGCTAATCACCTCCCAACAAAGGGTTTCCCCAGGCAGTAAGAAGCCAGTCCTTGAAACTGCTAGGCCATTGAATGCTAATCAAGGTGGGTAATTGCAACATTCACACCTATCTCAAACAGGCAAGAGTTCTTTCTCCCACCCTGGACATTATTCTACAGATATATAAACCCTATTTTCCTAGTTTCCAACAGACTTCACAATCTGAGGATGCCTGCCATAGGTGTGGGTGAAACGTCAGAAGAGAATGCTTCTGGAACACGGCCAGGCAGCCCGAAAAACTCACAACAACCCAGTGATTCCGGCCATGAAAGCCTTCGACAGTACATTGAAAAAATCTTCTGTTTCTGGTCTGAAAGTGCTATTTCCTGTTTGGTTGTGCAGTCCTTACTTTGAAAGCAGTTGTTATCCTCCAGAAGCTTTGTTGTCGGGGCTGCCACAAACTAGATTCAATTGGTTGAGACTATGGTGAGATATTAATTGAAAAACTGTAGCAAAATGGGATATAGCAGGATGTTCCCTAAAAGCAACGTTTTTGCAGTTTAATAAACTTTCTCCATGTTTTTATATACAAAACCAATTAGGAAATGACATTTCCCCAGGGAGTGAATTCCATAGGTGAGGGGCCACCACTGAGAAGGCCCTGCTCCTCGTCCCCGCCAATCTCACTTGTGACAGAGGCAGGGCCGAGAGCAGGGCCTCCCCAGAGGATATCAGACTCCGAGGTGGGACGTAGAGGGAGATGCATTCGGACAGATACCCTGTCTGAATATATCTCCTTGTATGAACCATCACGGAGGTTAAGATCTTCTGGGGAGGCCCTGCTCTCAGTCCCACCTGCTTTGCAAGTGCATTTGGCAGGGACGAGAGACAGGACCTTCTCAGTGGTGGCTCCTCAGTTCTGGAACTCTCTGCCGAGTGAAATCAGACCAACGCCCTCCCTCCTGGCCTTTAGAAAGAGAACAAAGACATGGTTATGGATCCATGTCTTTGACTAGTGAAGTGACGCAGTACAAGAAGCAAATATGGAAATCTTTTCTTCTCCTTCATTCTTTTCTTTTTCCTACTTTCCTATAAATGAAAATGTTCTTCCAAATGTTCAATATAAACAAAACTTTTTTATCCTTTATTTCTCTCAAATTTTATTTTCTCTCAATAAAACTTTAATTATATATATTATATATATAAAGAAGCAAATATGGAATGTGCGCAATTGACATTTGAAATGGTCAAGCCTACGTACTTGGATCACGTGATTTTAATGTTTTTATTAGGTATTTTTAATTCTTATATTTCATGTTTTAAATGCCTTTTTATTGTATCTTATGATGAATGGTCCCATTGATTCTAGACTTTGTTATGGCGTTGTTTGTAATTTGGTTTACGTTTGTAAGGCATTGGATTTGGGCAGTATTTCTGTGTAAATGGCTTTTGAGTTTCCCCAGGGGTGAGTAAAGCGGTATATAAATAATGTAAACAAACAAACCAACAAATAAATGTATAACCCAGAAACAAAAAACATGTTGCATAGTGTAACCTTCTATCTTCTATACATAATAAAAATGAAAATCCGTATGTGTGTATGTGGCTGGGGTGCCCACTTACAGACAAGCTCCTACCTCCACAAAGATAGAGGAAAAGTCACCTTGATTTGGGGGAATTGTAGTTCACCTACATCCAGAAAGCACTGTGGAATCAAAACACTGATGGATCTGGACCAAACTTGGCACACAGAGTGAAAGGACCATGGTGTTGACATCTCTGGCCCATCCCCTGTTCAGATATCAGCCAGCATGCAACAACGTAAATCAAGAAATAGATTTCTAAGATCTACAGTCACTCGCAGGAACACCTCAGCAAGCGGGAGTCCAAAAGTGGCAGGCTCAACCATAGCAGATACCAAATGAGAGATTCCCTCTAGGCACACAGAAGACTGGGCAATTGGAAGGTGCTGAACAGACTGCGCTCTGGCACCATGAGATGCAGAGCCAACCGTAAGAAATGGGGCCACGAAGTGGAGTCCATGACAAGGAAAGGGCCCAAGGCTGTTAGGAATGCTGGGAGTTGGGAGTCCAAAACACCTGGAAGGAGAGCCCAAGTTGGCCCATGCCTGGTTTATCTAACTGGCATGCTGTCTGGATTGGTAACAGTGAAATAATTAAATTGAGGTTAAGGTTAACAGCTCTTTTGAGGAAAACATGGGTGGCCCTTAAAAGGGCCTTTGGGGTTTTGTTAAGAGATTAGGATTGGAAAATTAGCCTCCAAAGCCGTAAAGAGTGCGGCCTTGTCGCTTCAGGGCGTAGACCACATCCATGGCGGTGACAGTCTTCCTCTTGGCGTGCTCGGTGTAAGTCACGGCATCGCGGATGACATTCTCCAGGAAGACCTTCAGGACGCCCCGGGTTTCCTCATAGATGAGCCCCGAAATACGCTTGACGCCTCCACGACGAGCCAGGCGGCGAATGGCGGGCTTGGTGATGCCCTGGATGTTGTCCCGAAGGACCTTCCTGTGCCTCTTCGCACCTCCTTTGCCCAAGCCTTTACCGCCCTTTCCGCGACCAGACATCCTTCCGAAGTGTACAAGAGCTCTCTCTCAAACAAAAAGGGAGCTAAAGCAGCCGTCGCAGGAGTTTTTATACCTCAGTGTCGGACCAGAGGGAAAACTCGAGAAGCGCCTGTAATAGTACGCTTAAGCACCGCCCACTTTTTCCCAAGTCTAACACGCCATTGGCTCTCTTTCTGACCAATCAGATTTCAGGCGGGCTTTTTCTTGAAAAATCGAACTGTTCCCTAATCGTAGCCTCAGACAAAAGGAACAAAGCTCCTTTCACATTATAGTCGTTCTGCAACATTTACAGTTTTGGCTTTTGGGATCTGATTATTCACGGATTTGATATAAATCAAATCCCCTGTGCTTTACTAATACAAAATTATTATTTATTTATTTGCGACATTTATATGCCACCCTTCTCACCCCGAAGGGGACTCAGAGCGGCTTACAAAGTATATATACATACAATATATTATTAGCATAGTACAATATCAGTTTTAAGTATTGCTATTTGTACTATATCAATTATGCTGTAATATTATTAGTAATATTACATGTAAAATAAATATATAATTATAATATCATATTATTATTATTACTATTATATTGCATTACATTGTAATATTATAATATTATAAATATTATATGTATATACAATATATTATATATTATATTATTAGAATAGCACAGGAGACAAGGTGGAACTTTGTAACAGAACAAAGCAAACAAACAGATAAAATTATAATATATTGTATATACATATAATATCTACAATATTATAATGCAATACAATACAATACTACTAATAATAATATGATATTACAATTATATATTTTATATTACATGTAATATTACTAATAATATTACAATATAATGGTGTAGTACAATATAGTGATATATAATACTTTTTTTAATAGTCTTTATTACAGGTTTTACAATTATTCCATACAACACAGCTTACACATCAAACATCAATATAGTGATATATAATACTTATATTGTACTATGCTTTTTTTTTTTTTGGCCGTGTCAGGAGCGACTTGAGAAACTGCAAGTTGCTTCTGGTGTGAGAGAATTGACCATCTGCAAGGACGTTGCCCAGGGGACGCCTGGATGTTTTGATGTGTTACCATCCTTGTGGGAGGCTTCTCTCATGCCCCCGCATGAGGAGCTGGAGCTGACAGAGGGAGCTCATCCGCACTGTCCCCGAATTCGAACCTGTGACCTGTGGGTCTTCAGTTCTTCCGGCACAGGGGTTTAACCACTGCACCACGGGGGGGATCCTTGTACTATGCTAATAATTTAATATATTGTGTGTGTGTGTGTGTGTGTGTGTGTGTGTGTGTATATATATATATATATATATATATATATATATATATATCTTGTAAGCTGCTCTGAGTCTCCTTTGGGGTGAGAAGGGCGGCATATAAATGAAATAAATAAATAAATGTTATCTCTAGGGCTGTTTCTTCACTACCACAGAATGCAGTTTGAACTGTATTCTGTGGTCAGTGTAGTAGACCCATGTAATGCAGTTCAAACTGCATTATATAGGTCTTATTACACTGACCAGTGGCTTTGTGGGTTGAACCTCTGAGCTGCTGAGCTTGTTGACCGAAAGGTCGCAGATTCAAGTCTGGGCAGCAGCCATGAGCTTCCACTGTCAGCCCCAGCTTCTATCAACCTAGCAGTTTGAAAACATGCAAATGTGGGTAGATAAATAGGTACTGCTCCGGTGGGAAGGTAACGGCGCTCCATGCAGTCGTGCTGGCTACACGACCTTGGAGGTGTCTACGGACAACACCAGCTCTTTGGCTTAGAAATGGAGATGAGCACCAACCCTCAGAGTTGGACACAACTGGACTTAATGTCAGGGGCAAACCTTTATCTTTATCTATTTAAATGAATAATACTAATATTGTAATATATATATATATACAATTCTGCACTGCCTTAAATATGTATGTGTGTGTGTGTGTGTGCAGAAAGAGAGAGTTGCATTAAGAGAAACGCTGCCCAGTGCCTCTCTTTTGGAGACAAAGAAAAGCAGGCTGACAAGACCCATCCCTGTTCCCTTCCACCCCTGAAGCAATGACGTAATGCTTTTCCCCCTAAGCAAAACATGCAAATAAGAAGTCTTCAAAGTCTTCGCGTTTCTATTGGACGATATGAACGCAAGCACGCCATTGGACCTTTCGAACGTCAGGCTCCGATTGGCTGGAAGGAGCCATTCTCTTATTGGCCAAGAAGGGGCTATGGAACGCATTGGCCAATCAGAATGAGGAACTACGATCCACGAGACTAAATAAAAAGGGAGGTTCGTGACTGAAGGAGACCACATTCGTTTCATTCCTTTAGCTCTTGCTTGTTGTTTAAGCTTCTCTTCAAAGGCATCATGTCTGGACGCGGCAAGCAAGGAGGCAAAGCTAGAGCCAAGGCCAAGACCCGATCTTCCCGAGCCGGGCTGCAGTTCCCCGTGGGCCGCGTGCACCGTCTCCTCCGGAAGGGCAACTACGCCGAGCGGGTCGGGGCCGGGGCGCCGGTCTACATGGCGGCCGTGCTGGAGTACCTGACGGCTGAGATCCTGGAATTGGCGGGAAACGCGGCCCGGGACAACAAGAAGACCCGCATCATCCCTCGCCACTTGCAGCTGGCCATCCGCAACGACGAGGAGCTCAACAAGCTGCTGGGCAGAGTCACCATCGCCCAGGGAGGCGTCCTGCCCAACATCCAGGCCGTGCTCCTCCCCAAGAAGACCGAGAGCCACAAGGCCAAGGCCAAGTAAAACACTCTGCTTTCCTTCCTCCGAAGCCAGCAAAGCCCCAAAGGCTCTTTTCAGAGCCACCCACTCTGTCACAAAAGGGCTGATTTCCCCAATGGCAGCTGCCAACAACATACCCCAAGCATACAAGGCCAACTTGGGCCCAGCAATAGTTATTCATGACCAGGTGCTAATTTAGCAGGCATGGGCAAACTTGGGCCCTCCGGGTGGGGGTTTATATCTGGAATTATGTCCATGGTGGGAGAAAAAACACTGCTTGAGGCAAATGTGAATATTGCCATTGCATTAAATGGCATTGCAGCTTCAAAGCCTGGCTGCTTCCTGCCTGGGAGGTGTTAGCTGGCCCTGATTGTTTCATGTCTTGAATTGCTCTTTATTTACTGTCCTGATGCAGAGATATTTACGTCCAATATTTGTTAAGCAGCTGAGGGAAAAGGAAGGTGCCTGAGGCTGTTAGGAATGCTGGGAGTTGAAGTCCAAAACACCTGGAGGACCCAAGTTGGCCGACACCTGCTATACACTATTAAAGCTACTTGACAAGCTTCAGGATCCCACATAAGAGCTGTTCAGCAGTGGAATTATCTTGTCTCAGTCTGGTAGGAGGCTTTAAAGCAGAGGCTGGATGGCCATCTGTCAGTAGTGCTTTGATTGTGCTTTTCCTGCGTGAAGGGAGAAAGGAGGTTGGACTAGAAAGGCCCTTTGGAGGGGTCTCTTCCAACTCTTGATTCCATGGCAGAGCAACTTTATTTATTTACATTTCCATGCCACCCTTCTCACCTCGAAGGGGACTCAGAGCGGCTTACAAGATATATACACATACAATATATTATTAGCATAGTACAATATCAGCATTAAACATTGCTATATTGCACCATACCACTATATTGTAATATTATTAGTAATATTACATGTAATATAAATATATAATTATGTTATTAGTATAATGCATTACATTATATTACAAATATTATATGTGCATACAATATTACATTAGTATAGCTCAGGAGATAAGGTGGAACTTGAGAAACTGCAAGTCGCTTCTGGTGTGAGAGAATTGGCAATCTCCCAAATGTTTTTACCATTCTCATGTTCCTGCATGGTTACCTGGAGCTGACAGAGGGAGCTCAACCACTCTCTCCCCGGATTCAAACCTGCAACCTTTCAGTCTTCAGTCCTGCCAGCCCAAGGGTTTATTAACCCGCTGCGCCACCGGGGACACCTATGTCACTGACTCTCCGTGGTACCAGCTCTGTTTATGAGAAGGTGGGTGGCCCTGAAAAGGGCCTTTGTGATCTGCTTTGAACCAAGCCTGAAAATTAGCCTCCAAAGCCGTACAGAGTGCGGCCTTGTCGCTTCAGGGCGTAGACAACGTCCATGGCGGTGACAGTCTTCCTCTTGGCGTGCTCGGTGTAAGTCACGGCATCGCGGATGACGTTCTCCAGGAAGACCTTCAGGACGCCCCGGGTTTCCTCATAGATGAGCCCCGAAATGCGCTTGACTCCCCCGCGACGAGCCAGGCGGCGAATGGCGGGCTTGGTGATGCCCTGGATGTTGTCCCGAAGGACCTTCCGGTGCCTCTTGGCGCCTCCTTTGCCCAGACCCTTCCCGCCTTTCCCGCGACCAGACATATCTACCAGCAAGCTCTTCCACACAATGAACTCAAAAACTGTACCGAGCAAAGCCTGGCGCTCCTTCTTATATACCAGAGGAGCCGACCAGAGGGAAAACTTTAGCCTTTTCTCTGCGTTGGAATTCCATTGGCCTAACCATATTTACTTCTCACCAATCGCATACGCCGTGGCGAGTAACCAATGAGAGCCCGCTGAGCATAGCGTGACAAACCCTGTCTCGTCTAACCAATAACATTCCAGCCCGGGATATTCAAACGATTTAACGGTCACAGCAAGGTTTTCAGCCAATCAGAGCTGCCAAACCCGTCTATAAATAGGCTGGAGAAAGCGGCTGTGCCTCACATTGAGTCTCGCATTCGAAGTGTTGACATGGCTCGTACCAAGCAGACAGCTCGCAAGTCCACCGGCGGGAAGGCGCCCCGCAAGCAGCTGGCGACCAAAGCCGCCCGGAAGAGCGCTCCAGCCACCGGTGGAGTGAAGAAGCCTCACCGCTACCGCCCGGGCACCGTGGCCCTGAGGGAGATCCGCCGTTACCAGAAGTCTACCGAGCTGCTCATCCGGAAGCTGCCCTTCCAGCGCCTCGTCAGGGAGATCGCGCAGGACTTCAAGACGGACCTGCGCTTCCAGAGCTCGGCCGTGATGGCGCTGCAGGAGGCCAGCGAGGCCTACCTGGTGGGGCTCTTCGAGGACACCAACCTCTGCGCCATCCACGCCAAGCGCGTCACCATCATGCCCAAGGACATCCAGCTGGCCCGCCGTATCCGCGGAGAGAGGGCCTGAGGCACATTCCCATACAGACCAATCAAACCCAAAGGCTCTTTTAAGAGCCACCACTTTTTCACCAAAAGGGCTGATAAACCCCATAATTGACCATTGGTATAAACTGCATTCAGTTTTGGAAGAGCACAATCAAAGCACTCCTAGCAGACGGCCATCCAGCTTTTGTTTATTTTTATTTACTGTCCTGATTTTGGAGGATTTTTAAAATACTAGCCAGCTAATGCCTCCCAATAAAGGATTCCCTCAGGCAGGAAGCAGCCAGGCTTTGAAGCTGCAAGGTTATTCACTGCTCATCAAGGTGATACATTGCAACATTCACATTTGCCAAGGCCTGATATAAACAATGTGTATGTACTCAGTTCTTGTGGGTTTTTCCGGGCTATATGGCCATGTTCTAGAGGCATTTCTCCTGACGTTTCGCCTGCATCTATGGCAAGCATCCTCAGAGGTGAGGATGCTTGCCATAGATGCAGGCGAAACGTCAGGAGAAATGCCTCTAGAACAAGGCCATATAGCCCGAAAAAACCCACAAGAACTGAGTGATTCCGGCCATGAAAGCCTTCGACAATACATGTATAGGAAACTGATGAGGAAACACAACATACAAACTATCTACAGACCCACCAAGAAAATCCAACAAATGCTTCGTTCAGCAAAGGACAAGAGGGATCCTCTCACTCTGCAGGAGTCTACCGTATACCATGCAGCTGTGGACAAGTCTACATAGGGACCACCAAACGCAGCATTGCCCAAACACGAATCAAGGAACATGAAAGGCACTGCAGACTACTTCAACTAGAGAAGTCAGCCATAGCAGAGCACCTGATGAACCAGCCTGGACACAGCATATTATTTGAGAACACAGAAATGCTGGACCACTCTCACAACCACCATGTCAGACTACACAGAGAAGCCATTGAAATCCACAAGCATGTGGACAATTTCAACAGAAAGGAGGAAACCATGAAAATGAACAAAATCTGGCTACCAGTATTAAAAAACTCAAAAATTACAACAGCAAAACAACAGAGGGGAAACAAACAGGCACATAAAATCACTCTCAACAAAAGATTCCCCCCAGGCACTTCCAAGCCATTGAATGCTAATCAAGGTGATCAGTTGAAACATTCACACCTAGCCCCAGCAGACAAAAGTCCTTTGCCCCACCCTGGTCATTCCACAGATATATAACCCCATTTTTCCTACTTCCAACAGACCTCGCTACCTCTGAGGATGCTTGCCATAGATGCAGGCGAAACGTCAGGAGAAAAATTGCCTCCAGAACATGGCCATATAGCCCGGAAAAACCTACAACAACCCAAGGAGTTCTTTATTTGCTGTCCTGATTTTAGAGGTTTCTTTACTACTAGCCACCTAATACCTCCCAATAAAGGATTCCCTCAGGCAGGAAGCAGCCAGGCTTTGAAGCTGCAAGGTTATTCAATGCTCATCAAGCTGAGCCATTGCAACATTCACATTTGCCCAGGCCTGATATAAACAATGTGTATTTAGTCATTACTGCGGAAACCACTCTCATGGGTTCACCCTCAGTTCAGCTCACACCATGCAACACTTAAAGTAGACGAGCGACGTGAGCTTCTGCTGAGGGCTCCAGCTTCTGCCAACCTAGTAGTTCAAAAACATGCAAATGTGAGTAGATCAATAGTTACCGCTCCGACGGGAAGGTAACGGCGCTCCATGCAGTCATGCCGGCCACATGACCTTGGAGGTGTCTACGGACAACGCCGGCTTAAGCAGCTGAGGGGAAAAGGAAAGGGCCGGGAGTTGGAGTCTAAAACACCTGCAAGGCCCCAGCCTGTGATAAACAGTGAAACAGCATTGAAGGCTGGATGGCCATCTGCTGGGGGTGCTTTGATTGTGCTCTTCCTGCCTGACAGAAACTGAATTGCAGAGTTTTCACTTTTCCGTCTCAGAAAGGACCTGAGGCTGTTAAGAATTGTGGGAGTTGGAGTCCAAAACACTTGCAGGATCCAAGTTGGAAACTAGTCAAGTGAGGGTTATATATTTGTGGAATAATGTCCAGGGTGGGAGCAAGAACCCTTGTCTGTTTGAGGCAAATGTGGATATTGCAATGGCTCACCTTGATTAACATTGAATAGCCTTGCAGATTCAAAGCCTGGCTGCTTCCTGCCTGGGGGAATCCTTTGTTGGGAGGCATTAGCTGGCTATCGGTATTTTAAAAAACCCTCTAAAATCAAGATAAAGAACGACACTCATGCTTGGTTTTGAAAATACAAAGTTTCTTTGTAGTTTTCAACCTACTTGTTTACTTGTGTATAGCAATCGTCACAGATTTGGAAGGGACAAGGTCTTTCCAACCCCAATTTGCCATTGGAAGTGATTTGCCTAAGGAGGTACACCTAATACTATAATAGGTTTCCAGCCCTGTGCATGGATTGGATCCCTTTATTTTCAGTGTCTAGATACAGTATTACACTAACTTGGCTCTCAAAATCACTTCAAGGAAACTTTTCTCCTTCGAGTTACAAATCTGGCTCTCAAAATGTCTCATTTTGCTCAATTGTAGCAGCAGTGAGACTTTCAACTGAAGCTATTAAATGGCAACATTAAGCTCTTTCCTTTTCCTCATTGCTTTTATTCACATTTTTAATGGGTTGTTGTGAGTTTTCCAGGCTATATGGCCATGTTCTAGAAGCATTCTCTCCTGACCTTTCGCCTGCATCTATGGCAGCCATCCTCAGAGGTTCTGAGATCTATTGGAAACTAGGAAAATGGGGTTTATATATCTGTGGAAAGTCCAGGATGGGAGAAAGGACTCTTGTCTGTTGGAGGTAAGTGTGAATGTTGCAATTGGCCACCTTGATTAGCATTTAACGGCCTAGCAGTTTCAGTCTGGCTTTTTACTGCCTGGGGAATCCTTTATTGGGAGGTGATTAGCTGGCCCTGGACATTCCACAGAAATATAAACCTCACTGGACCAGTTTCCAACAGACCTCACAACCTCTGAGGTTGCCTGCCATAAATGTGTGCGAAAGGTCATGAGAGAATGCTTCTGGAACATGGCCAGATAAGCCCAGAAAACTCACAACCATGATTCCAGCCATGAAATCCTTTTTGATACTTAAAATAGCGTGGGTTTGGATTAACTCTGTGTCCCCAATCCAACAATTCCTCATGATTCCAATTAAGTTTTACATGAAGTGGTGGTTGGTTGTCAGATGAGAACTTTAATCCCTTTGTTTATTCTTTTGATTCTTGTGTGTGTGTCAGGAGTGACTTGAGAAACTGCAAATCGCTTCTGGTGTGAGAGAATTGGCTGTCGTTGCCTAGGGAATGCCTGGCTGTTTTCCCATCCTGTAGGAGGCTTCTCTCATGTTGTATGGGAAGCTAGAGCTGACAGGCGGGAGCTCACCCCACTCCCTGGATTTGAACTGCCAGCTTTTTGGTCAGCAGTCTTGCCAGCACGAGGGTTTAACTCAGACATGGGTCAACTTTCTAACTTGGGAGCCACATGCTAGCACTCCCTGCTAGGGGAACTGGCTGCCTGGTGATGGAAGAAAGGAAGGAAGAAAGAGAGAAGAACGGAAGGGAGGAAGGAAAAAGGGGGGAAGAGATGGAAAGAGGGAATGAAGAAAAGAAAAGGAAGGATTAAAGGGTGGCAGGGAATGATGAGGGAGGAGGAGCAGGCTGGCACGATACAGGCACGAGGGAAGAGAAACAAAAGTGAGTGAGGAGAAAGAGGGAAAGGGAGGGAAGAGAAGAGGGGGAGGGGAAGGATGGAAGGATAAAGGAAAGAGGGAAAGAAGGACAAAGGGGTGGAAGGACGAAGAGGGAAGGGTAGAGTTAAGGAGGAAGGAAAGACAAGGAAAGGAAGCAAAAAGGGGAGGCAAGAGAAGGACGAAAGGGTGGAAGGCAAGGATGGAAGACAGAGGGAAAAGGAGGGAGGAAAGGAGGAGTAAGAAGGAAAAAGGAAGGCAAGGAGGGAAAGGAAGGATGAAGGAGTGGAAGGAAGAGGGAGATAAGGATTAAGTAAAGAGAGAAGAAAAGAAAGGCATAAGGGAAGGAAAGAAGAGGGAAGGAAGAACGAAATGGTGGACATGAAGGGTGAGAGGGAAAGGGAGGGAGGTAAGGAAGGAAAGAGAAGGCAGGGAAAGAGGGAACGGAGGATTAAGAGGTGGAAGGAAGGGGAGGGAGAGGAGGAAGTAAAGACAAAAGGGAAGGAAAGACGAAAGGGTGGAAGGGAAGGATGAAAGGGAAAGGGAGGGAGGTAAAAGGAAGAGAAGGGAAGGAGGGAAAGAAGGAAGGATGAAAGGGGGAAAGAGGGAAGATGAGGAAGGAAAGAGAAGAAAAAAGGAAAGGAGAAAGGGAAGGAAGAACAAAAGGGTGGAAGGGAAGGATGAAAAGGGAGGGAGGTAAGAAGGAAGGAAAGAGAAGGACGAAGGGATGGAAGGAAGGGGAGGGAGATGAAGAAGGAAAGAAGTGAAGGAGGGAAGAGAGGGAAAGAAGGACGAAGGGATGGAAGGGGAGGGAGATGAGGTAGGAAAGAGAGAAGGAAAGACAAAAGGGAAGGAGGGAGAAAAGAGGGAAGGACGAAAGGGTGGAACGGGATGGTCACTATGCTTGTCTTCTGGAAATCTTCTTGAAGAGATGATGAAGTGAAAGGATACATTGTGACATTCTGGTTTGATTTCTGGAAAAGTTCAACCGTGTCACAGAAATTCGATTCCCATTTTTCTGCCACCATATCAGTGGACATACATTGGTCGGTGGACTGGGTGGGGGAAAAGGAAGGAAAGATAAAAGGGAAAGGAGAAAGGGAAGGACGAAAAGGTGGAAGGGAAGGATGAAAGAGGGAGGGAAAAGGAGGGAGGTAAGAAGGAAAGAGAAGTGAAGGAGGGGAGAGAGGGAAAGAAGGACGAAGGGATGGAAGGGGGAGGGAGATGAAGGAAAGAGAAGAAAGACTGAAAGGGAAGGTGGGAGAAAAGAGGGAAGGACGAAAGGGTGGAAGGGAAGGATGAAAGAGGGAGGGAAAAGGAGGGAGGTAAGAAGGAAAGAGAAGTGAAGGAGGGAAGAGCGGGAAAGAAGGACGAAGGGATGGAAAGGGGAGATGAGGATGGAAAGAAAGGAAAGGGAAGGAGGGAGATAAGAGGGAAGGACGAAAGGGTGGAAGGGAAAGGAGGGAAAGAAGAAAGGACGAAGAGGTGGAAGGCGAGTAGAGGGAAGAAGTCAAGAGAGAAGGAAGGTGAGAGGAGGGCCTGAGAGGAGAGCCCAAGGGCCCGCATCGGGTGAGTGATTATTCGTGACATTCAGCTCTCTCTGGGCCGTGGTGGGTGGCTCTTAAAAGAGCCTTTGGGGTTTAAAGGACGAACCAACCGCTCTCCTCCGCGCCTTCTTCCTCATTCTCCTTCGCTCTCTTCTTTACTTCTTCCTGGGCGCCGCCTTCTTGGCCTTGCCCACCTTAGCCTTGGGGGTCTTGGGCTTGGCTTTGGCCTTGGCCGCCTTGGCCTTGGCGGGGCTCTTGGCGGGCTTGCGGGCTTTGGCGGCGGCCGCCTTGGGCTTCTTGGCGGGGCTTTTGGCGGGCGCTTTCTTGGCTCCCGCCGAGGTGGGCTTCTTGGTGACTTTCTTGACGCTCTTCTTGGGAGTGACGGCTTTCTTGACCTTCTTGGCGGCGGAGGCGGGCTTCTTGGCGGCGGGCTTCTTGGCCTTGGAGGCGGCGGAGACGGCGGCCTTCTTCTTGGGGGCGGCCTTCTTCTCCTTGCCCTCCGAGGAGGCCTGCTTCTTGTTCAGCTTGAACGAGCCGGAGGCGCCGGTGCCTTTGGTCTGGACAAGCGTGCCCTTCGTGACCAAACTCTTGAGGCCCAACTTGATGCGGCTGTTGTTCTTCTCCACGTCGTAGCCGGCGGCCGCTAAGGACTTCTTGAGGGCGGCGAGGGAGACTCCGCCGCGCTCCTTGGAAGCCGACACGGCTTGGGTGAGCAGCTCCGTCACGCTGGGGCCGGCCGGCTTCCGAGCCTTGGCAGCGCCTCCTGCCGCTTTCTTCGCCTTCTTCGCGGGCGCCTTGACGGCCGGGAGCGCGGCCACAGGCGCGGCGGGAACCTCTTCCGTCATCGTGTTAGTTTACCTCAGCGCCGCCGAAAAGTTTCTTCTCTTCTTCTCTTCTTCTTCTCCTTCGATGCTCGCGTCGCCGAAGCTGAAACTCAACTGACGCGAGCCCAGGCGCCGCCGGCTATTTATAGGGGAGGAGCTGCGCGCTGATTGGTCCGTTTCGGGCAGGGTTTCTCGCGCTGACAGCCAGATGGTGTTCCCAGCTCTTTGCAACTTTTTGTGTTTCTTCACCGGCACAAAACGCGCGATTAATCCGCCCCCCGGGCACCGATCGCTTCGGTTCCGGTACCGATCGATAGAGGAGATTATGAGCTTTCCAACGATACCCGGGACTTCCCTGAAGAAATCGGAACCAGCCCGGCAAACGAAAAGGAACTCAGCCACTGCCTGTTCTTTCGGCGGGCAAAATTGCAAAGTTCTGCTTTTCGGTGAAAATAGCAAATAATCTTTCGAATCCAAGGCAAAGAAGGGTCTCCGGGCCTCTAGCCAGAGGGGTCTTCTGCCCGACAGTGAAGAAAGAGAAAGGATTCCGCCCCTATCTTGGCCGCAATCGCGGCTTTAACCGAGTCAAGTAACACATCTGACAAAGGGCTTTGGTCTAAATTGATCTATGGCATCCCGAAGACTTGGGCCCCAGAAAAGAAGGGGAAACGCCAGGTTCAAGGGGTTCGGGTCCTTGCAAAGAGCCCAGCCCCCCAAGAGGCCTCGAAAATTCACCCAGGCGTCGAAATTCGGTCTTGTTTACACTTTTCCTGGAAGTCATTTGATAATAGGCAACACTTGCTTTCCTCTCTGTGGGTCCTTATGCAACCCAGGGGAGGCTTCCAGGGATGCCATTTCCACAGTTAAACTTATTTAAAATATATGTTTTGGCAAAAATTAGACTCAGGTCTCACCCAAGAGGGAAACCCTGAGAGATGTGAGTGGTTTTAGTGTGGGTTTGCAGTGCATCCACACTGTAGAATTAATGCAGTTTGAAGTCTCTTGAACTGCCATGGCTCAATGCTAGGAAATCATGGGAGACACTGTTTTTTCACAGGGTTTTTAACCTCCTCTGCCAAAAAGTGCAAACTACAGATGCCAGGGTTCCATAGCACTAAGCCATAGGAATTGAAGTGGTTCTAAACTGCATTAATTCCACAGTGTAGATGCACCTTAAGCCATAGAAGTGCAGTTTGAAGTCTCTTGAACTGCCGTGGCTCAATGCTAGGAAATCATGGGAGACATAGTTTTTTTCACAGGGTTTTTATTTCTTCTGCCAAAGAGTGCAAACTACAAATGCCAGGGTTCCATAGCACTAAGCCATGGGAGTTGAAGTGGTGCTAAACTGCATTAATTCCACAGTGTAGATGCACCTTAAGCCATAGAAGTTAAAGTGGTGCCAAACCACATTGATTCCACAGTGTAGATCAGGCATGTGGATCTACACCATATGTTTTAAACCATATGTTTTTGCAAAAATTAGACTTAGGTGTCACCCAACAGGGAAACCCTGCGAGGTGTGAGTGGTTTAAATGTGGGTTTGCAATGCATCCACACTGTAGAATTAATGCAGTTTGGTGTCACTTGAACTGCCATGGCTCAATGCTAGGAAATCATGGGAGAATTGGCATTTTTTCACAGGGTTTTTAACCTCCTCTGCCAAAGACTGCAAACTACCAATGTATTAAGCCAGGGGAGTTAAAGTGGTGCTAAACTGCTTTAATTCCACAGTGTAGATGCACTTTAAGTCATGGAAGTTAAAGTGGAGCCAAACCACATTAATTCCGCAGTGTAGATCAGGTATGTGGATCTACACCATGTTTTAAACCATATGTTTTTGCAAAAATTAGACTTAGGTGTCACCGAACAGGGAAACCCTGCGAGGAGTAAGTGTTTTAAATGTGAGTCGTAGTCCATCCACACTGTAGAATTAATGCAGTTTGAAGTCACTTGAACTGCCATGGCTCGATGCTATGAAATTATGAGAGGCATAGAAACTTAAGTATCACCTAATAGGGAAACCCTGTAAGATATAAGTGGTTTAAGTGTGGGTTTGCAATGCATCCACACTGTAGAATTAATGCAGTTTGAAGTCACTTGAACTGCCATGGTTCAATGCTATGAAATCATGGGAGACATAGCTTTTTTTCACAGGGTTTTTAACCTCCTCTGCCAAATAGTGCAAACTACAAATGTGTTAAGCTAAACTACATTAATTCCACAGTGTAGATGCACCTTAAGACATGGGAGTTAAAGTGGTGCTAAACTGCATTAATTTCACAGTGTAGGTGCACCTTAAGACATGGGAATTAAAGTGGTGCTAAACTACATTAATTCCACAGTGTAGATGCACCTTAAGACATGGGATTTAAAGTGGTGCTAAACTGCATTAATTCCACAGTGTAGATGCATCTTAAGACACAGGAGTTAAAGTGGTGCTAGACTGCATTAATTCCACAGTGTAGATGCACCTTAAGACATGGGAATTAAAGTGATGTTAAACTGCATTAATTCCACAGTGTAGATGCACCTTAAGACATGGAAGTTAAAGTGGCACTAAACTGCATTAATTCCACAGTGTAGATGCACCTTAAGTCATGGGAGTTAAAGTGGTGCTAAACTGCATTAATCCCACAGTGTGGATGCACCTTAAGACATGGGAATTAAAGTGGTGCTAAACTGCATTAATTCCACAGTGTAGATGCACCTTAAGACATGGAAGTTGAAGTGGTGCCAAACCACATTAATTCCACAGTGTAGATCAGGCATGTAGATAATGTTGTTTTATAGCTGTAAATGGTATTGTTTATGTATTTGCTTTTAACCTCACGCCTTAGAGAAATTGCTGTTTAATTTTTCAACTGATAAGCAATGTCCCTGTATGCTGAATACATGAAGTTTGTAAGTAAACCAACTATATTACTTTTGACAAAGTCCACTTTATTTTTGTCTTTTGAGAGCAAGATTTAAAACCAAATATATTTATGACAGAGTAGATGTTTTTGGGCAACTGAAACAAATACTTCTGAAGATCTGCTATATATTTTGTGCATTGACATAATCTTTGTTCCTAACAGTTCAAAGAGGTAACCGGGTATATCAGTCTAACAACTGAGAAGCCTAGTTGCCTTGCATGAATACTAGTGGGTATTCATCACTAAGGAGAAGATTCACTCAAACATGCATTGACATAATGTTTGTTCCTAATAGTTCAAAGTGATAACCAGGTATATCAGTCTAACAACTGAGAAACCAAATTTTCCTTGCTTGAATAATACTAGTGGATATTATTTACCAATAAAGAGAAGATTCACTCGAACGACTTTCTAGGGGGAAAAGTAAGGTGCCTGAAGCTGTTAGGAATGGTGGGAGTTGGAGTCCAAAACACCTGGAGGGCCCAAGTTTGCCCAGGCCTGCTGTAGATTGTTCTATGGAACCCCACTTCTGCTTTTAATCCATCAATCCAGCCGCTGAAATGTGCTGAGAAAAGCCACCCACTCCCATCCATCTCTGGCTTCTCTTTTGCACCATGTTCTGCTTTCCCCAAACTGCACCAAAGACTTGAACAAAAAGACAAAAGTGTCTTTATTTGGTTACAGAGCTGGATTCACAAACGTGACGCACAGACGCAGGCGCAGCATAAAAATCCACACACATGCGCACACACAAACAACAACACCCAGAAGGTGGAGAAGGGGGAACTCTGGTTCTGTACAAAAATAAATCTCTATCGACAAGGAAACAAAATACTTAGTAAACATATATTTTGGGTCTCCTTTGCCTCCATTATTATTTTTATATCCTTGTTGGTTGCAATGCAGGCCAACCCAAAGGCTTCTTTGGGAATGAAGGCAGGGAGCAAAAGGGGTGACCAGTTTCTTGTGGCTCCAAGAGCTTCATCATCACCATCATCACCATCATCACCATCACCACGATTACCACCACCACCATCACCATGATCACCATCACCATGATCACCATCACCACCATCACCATCATCACCATCACGATTGTCACATCATCATCACCATCATCACCATCACCGTCATCACCACCATCACCATCATCATGATCACTATCACCATCACCATCATCACCATCATCATGATCACCGTCACCATCACCATCACCACCAYCATCATCATCATCATCATCATCATCATCATCATCATCATATTTATTTATATCCCACCCCACCTCCCCGAAGAGCAATGGATCATCACCATCACCACCACCACCACCACCACCACCATCACCACCATCACCACCATCATCATCACCATCATCACCATCATCATCATCACCATCACCACCATCACCATCACCATCACCATCACCACCACCACCACCACCATCACCATCACCACCATCATCATCATATTTATTTATATCCCACCCCACCTCCCCGAAGAGCAATGGATCTATTCTTTGTATTTCCCTTCCTCCAAAGGAACAAGAGATAGTTCCTGTAATAGCTTACTTACTTAGTTGCTTACTTAGGTGATCCCTCATAGCTTGAGGATGATGGTCCTTTAAGTGATGTGTGTCCATAGGTAGCTGTGGAGCCATATTCTTGATCCACATGTTCTCTAATGAGGACAACGGTTCCCAAGTGGAAGGCGGTCCCATCAGGGTTGGCTTGATGCATCTTCTTCCTCTTGGCATGTTTCTCCCTTTTGCCCTCCAATCGGGCCTCTTCGAATTCTGCAGCACTGCTGGTCACAGCTGACCTCTAGTTAGAGCATTCAAGGGCCAGGGCTTCCCAGTTCTCAGTATCTATGCCACGGTTTTTGAGGTTGGCTTTAAGCCCATCTTTAAATCTCTTTTCTTGTCCACCAACATTACGTCTCCCGTTCTTGAGTTGGGAGTAGAGTATAGTAACTGCTTTGGGAGATGGTGATCAGGCATCTTCTAGGACAGTGGTTCTCAACCTGTGGGTGCCCAGATGTTTTGGTCTGTCTATTACCCTCTCCACGTGTTCTCCCTTACAAATAATTCTCCTTCTTTATCTCACCCTGAGTTTTTAAATAATGTTATGTACATGCGGCCCACTCACGACCAACCATAACATTATTTTCATTGCTACTTCATAACTGTAATTTTACT